TAATCACTCTTCAAAAATGGCCTATAGGGATTTTTTTTGATCAAATAAAATTTTAGATATCTCTCAAACATATATATTCCTATAATTTCTATTATAATTATTTATCTTTATCATATTTTTACGCTAATTAAGATTTATTTCTCTAGTAACTTTGGTAATTGATACAGATGATCAAAGTCTTCCAATATCTTTTATAAGTATGGTAATTTGAAAAGAGGTTGATTTTATGTTAGACTGGTAAGATCTTAAGGCAATCAGTATTATTCCTAACATTTTTTTGATGACTTTATATATTCTATGTAACAAGAACTTTATAACTTTCTATCCTAGTACTAAAACTAACCAGGACCTATATAACCTAATTTATTACATCATAGTCAGATAATAATATCTAATAGATCTGATATGTACATGGTTGATAAGCATATATCCTATACAATGTTATATTATGAGAGCTATTTATAAGTGAAATTGAACCAATAATTTGTAAATGGTAATTTAAAAATATATCTACTGCACTATTAATCCACAGGTCTTATATGATTTTTAGATTTTATAAAATATTTATTTTTTTTGTGTTTTTTTTATAAATTTTTATTTATTTTAACTTAATTTCAAATTTTAAATAATAAAGAACTATTTTTATAATAATTAATAATATAAAATATTTCAATAATAAAATATAAACAAGATTTTTAATGATTACTAAACATTACAACAACTCTTTTTACTAATCTTCTATCCACATAAAAAAAAGATGCTTATAAAAATTTTTTATCTTCATACTAATAAAGTCTTAATACTATATTTAAATCAACTTAAAGTTTTACTTAAGAAATATTTCCAAACACCTTTTTTGTTTATATTCATCTTTAAACAAAAATTTAACTTTTTGTGATTTAGAAAAGTTAAGAAACATCTTTTTTATCTATAGCAAAAAAGTTCTGCAAAAAAAAAAAAAAACTAATAGTGTAGTGCTTAAAACTTTTTATATTAAAATATATCTATAAAGATTTTGTGTAATGATAGGTAATAAATATTAAGTTATATTTTCAAAGTATCTATTACTGTTTCTTTTTTATTATAAGTACTTAAAATTTTTTTGATTTTCTGAAGAATTTTGCCTATTCCAGTTTAATTCTAAATTTTAGATAACACAATCTATTGCAAAATATAATTAGTGAACACAAAACACATTAGTAGCTAAATATAAACATACCTATTAATTATTTCATATGTTTTGATAATATTATTAATAATAGAAAAAGTTGATTAATACTTCCTTCTTATTTTACTCCTTTAATTGGATTAACTTATAAATTAAATACTATGTGATTAATAAGATATAAGTATCAAGTCTTCAGATGATGAAAAAGCTACTATTTGTTTAAGTTAAAATCTTTTTCTGTTATTATTTTAATTATACAAAGTTTAAAATTAAGATTTTTTTTTTTTTTAACACTCTATCAGGCTAGTTATGTGTATTTTATTAAATATTTGTAACCTGTACATATAATATGAATTACTAAAGTTAAAAAATACTAACTAGCTTACTTGTCTTTATAATTACTACTTTAAGTGCAATTTTGAGAGAGATTTATTGCTCCATTAGGAATTCAGATAAAAACCCTTCCAACTTTTAATATTATTGCCTACAAGTCACTATTGCAGAAATTAAGGTTTCTTTCTTATTCTTGTCAAATAATAAAACTAAATGGTTTTTAGTTTATGTTAAGCTTTAACTCTTTGATTATAGTTAAGAATGTATATCTTCAGAAGTTATAGAAAGACATTGTAATCTATAAGGATTTTTATTACTTTTGATACTCTTATATCATTATAAAGCAAGAAGATTGTTATGAAATCTGATTTTTTGAATAATAGAAGATGTTCACTAATAAAATTTCTTTAATTAAATGTGACTGTTAGAAGATATCATACTGAAACAATATGGTTCAATCCCTACTGAGTTACATAAGAACCTGTGATCAATTATAAGTCACTCGTTTATTACAGATAAATAAAAAATCATTGTTCAAAAAAAGTTGGGACCAAGTGTATTATTGAAAGTAAAGACTTCTATTAAATAATAAGTTTTTTAGATGATATACAGTATAAGAAAAAAATCAAGATTAAAAATAGATAAGTTTCTTAAACAGTTAGAAGAAGAAAGAATATTTCAATTGAGCATTTTTTATTAAAAAAAAGTCTTGAAAAATAGGTTTTTTGAGAAAGCTGAAGAATTTTATTTTATTTTATTTTTATTTTTTTTATATTTTCACTTGAATATTTTTAGATATACTCTTCTCCTTTTTTTTTTAACTCATTTTTTTGTAATTTTTTGTATTCTAGTTGTCTGATAGGACATTAAACAGTAACAATCTATCCGCAATAAAGTAATAAACTAGAAGGGTATTTATTCAAAGATTATCATGGAACAAAATATTGTTTTCAAGGTTAAACTTAGAGACTATTATTATTATTATTTTTTATTTTTTTTTTTTAAATGGGCTCATGTCTAATCTTTATTAGTTTTCAAAATACATTTTATACAATTGCACAATGTGCATGTACAGGGTGTATATCCGGGATAAATAAAAAATTTAATAAACTAATGCTACTTCGAGGCTTATTGCCCTCTTTTTTACAAAAAAAACCCACATCCCAATAAGTGTGCGGGTGTTATTAAAGAAAAATAAAAGAAAAATAAAAAAAGCGATCATGTGCTATTTTGAAAAAGTAACTATAGTGTTTTTCAGCAATGTCTGTCCTGTTCTAAATTCTCCTTTTAGTGATGATTCAGGGGAGCTTCTACTGAATCTTTATGAAAATAAGATAGAGATGAATAAGAAGACTTTACAGTTTTAAGACTTGTGAGGAGGGAGTAATTAAGAAGGCCCAGGTGATATATTAGTGTTTGTATGAATAACTTGAAAATCTTCCAGTATATCATTAATCAAACCCATTTCTATCTAAATATGGGTATACTTACCCATCTGTACAATATATTTCAGATTTAATTCCTTATAGAAGGACTGCATCTAGCCCCACAGTTAGCATACCCTGTTGGTGGTCATTGGTATTAGTGATCATTAAGGATCTCCCAGATTATCCAGCCAGCTCACACGTCACTGCTGACATTTTCAGACTCGAGTTTCGATTAGTGTAGTGATATTAACCTTCCAGTCTTCCAACTTGGGATTTTTTGAAGATAGGATGAAAACTTCTTGGTGTATTATGCACACTAGCATTATTATGAGTGTTTTTAGTCATCTTCTTCACTTTTTTTGATTGGACTTTTCTGAGCAGTAGAAGTAGAAACTTACCTGATATACAATCAGGAGTAGGTGACTTTAATTTTTAAAAGGAAACAATCGAGCATATTGTGACCTTTGCTGTGGTCAAACGGTCTCTTTTTTGTATCCAATGATGTGTCGGAGGCTTGTCCTGTATTCACCTACACTAAACCATATGATTTATGATAGACTCCAGGTTTTTATAGAACTGAGAAAATACATTTAGACACGTGAGGTGATCAATGGGAGCTTGTTTATCAATCTTGTCCAATGTGTTTCATGTCAACCAATTAGAATTTGTGAGATCTGTGCTACTCGAAATTTTAGGATCAAGCTGAGGTAGGCAAAATTCTTCAGAAAATCATGAAAAAGGTAGCTTTAAGAGACTACAATATCAGTCAAAGAGTAGAAAAGTGAGTTCTTTGACTAATTTATAATCTTTATTATCTTCACCATAACTAAGAGGTGAGAGGTACTTCACTGTAGGTCCTTTTCCCTTTAGGAACTTTCTTGCCATTAGTAGTAAAGATAGACACTGAACTTTGCAGGTTACAAGAGTTCAATTTGTTCAAAGAAAATTGTAAACAATAGTGGGGTGAGTTTGGAAAGTTCTAAAGAAACTCTTTAAGTTGATTTAAGGAAAATAGTAAAACTCTATTAGCATAGAAGTATTGAAACTTCTTGTAAACATCTTTTTTGTGTGTAGTCAAAGAATCAGTGGAAAGAGTAATCAATCAAAATGTTAGAGACTATTATTGCTTATAATGAATTGATTGAATTGGATAGCAATATTTAATTGTAATATGTAACATACTATTTGAATGAAAATATACTTATGTTTTCAATTGATTAATAAATTATAATTTAATTTGATTATAGATAAAAAAAAAATAAATAAATAATCAAAATTTCTAATTACTAATCAAGACAAAAGTCAAATATTTTAATTGTTTTTAATATTAATCCTATCTTTTTTAAATTATAAAAAATTTTTTTTATTCTAAAAAAATTAAATAATAAAAAATAAAATAGGAAATATTGAATTTCAACTCAAATAATCATATAAAATAAGTTAAGAAGTATTTATTTGTTCTTAACAAATCTATTTAAAAGATTTAAAAGATTTTAGTTTCTTATATTAATACTATTATCAATATAACTTACTATACCTAGAAAAAATAAAAATAAAAAAAATTTTTTATTAATGAATTTTATTAAAAATTAGAGATTAGAAGATTTTGAGTTATTAATACCAAAAGCTCTCTTTTCTATTCATTTCATACTTGAATGAGATATGGATTAAAGTATGATATGCAGTATTAAACTTTTCTATCTGGTATTTTTTTTTTCTTTCTTTTCTAATATAGCATCAAGAGAAACTTTATATACTCTAGAGTTCAAGACCTTTCAAAGACATTAGTCATATAGACTATCTTATGGATAGTAAATATTTTTATTGTAAATTCAAACTAGTGTATAACTTTGGGTCTTGTAATCTCTACATTAATTCTATCGATAAAATCGACGAAGTTAAAAAAAAGAATTTGTTATTTATTAATTCATTTGGTACTTTATACAGTATATACTGTAAACTGGAGTTTCACAACGTAAATTGTTTATGTTACACAAAAGAGCACATGTACATTTAGCGGAAGAGTAGTTTAATTTTTCAAGGTATGTACTTTCTCGCTTGTAACTGAAAATATGTCTTTAATTCAAGACATTTCCTCTGAAGTTTTTTCTAATACCCCAAAATCTCCAAAATCTCCATCTCTTCAAAGATTTGAACGCCAATTGGGAGGACATAGCAAGTTAATGGCCATAAATGATGGTTCTATGATAGTCAAGCCGTGTAACGAAATCGAAAGAGATTTCTACGAGCTCAGTATAATACATCCCGATTTCGCTAAGTGTATGCCCAAGTATTATGGATATTTGCGGTTGCAAGGCTATAATTCTTCGCTTTTGGAACAACAAGAAGAATATATCAATGAAGAAGAAACCAATAATGCAAGTGTGAACGCACAAGTTTTCAGGGAAAACATGAATATCTCTGGGGTCGAAGATATCCTTAATATTTTTGTAGTATATTTGAAAAAAATCAAATTTTATATATCCTTAAATATAATATTAAAAAACACAAGCCATATGTATAGAAAATCTTTTGAGCAAATTCAAAAAGCCTTGCGTCATGGACGTGAAAATAGGTAGACAACTTTGGGGAGACGATGCCAGCGAAGAAAAAAGAAAAAAAATGATTAGAAAGGCAGAATTAACCACATCAGGCTCCCTAGGACTCACAATAATAGCATTTCAAGTAAGTGATATATAAAAATAACAACATACATATCCAATTGTTCAAAATTAACAATAACAAGCATATTATTGATACTTATTGAAGGTATATAAAAAATCATCTGATAATTATGAAAACTATGACAGAGACTATAGCAGAAGCCTGACTGCTGACACTATAGATTCTGGTTTTTTTAATTTTTTCGATGCGGATATACCAGCAAAATTGCGCCGATCTGTTATTGAACGGTTCATAGAGGACTTAGAATTGTTGATAGAAGTATTAAAAAATCAAGAGATGAGATTATTTAGTGCGTCCCTGTTGTTTGTGTACGAAGGTGACCCCGATACTCTCTTGGAAACTTTGAATAAAATACAAGAAAATAATAAAAAATTAGAATCCTCACAAGATGTGGATAAAGATGCCGAGGAAGGTGAAAATGAAGAGGAGGGGGAAGATGAGGAAGATGAGGATGAGGATGAAGAGGATGAGGATGACTGTGAGCCCGAGGAGTTTAAGGCAACAGATCTAAGATTCATAGACTTTGCTCATTCTTACTTCCGAGAAGGTGTTGGTAGAGACGAAAATAGTTTGTTTGGTTTAGATAATACACTGAAAATATTGAGACAATTATTGGGCAAAATATCGAAATGTAATTGATCATATTTACAACAAGTACCTAAAAAATATATAAAAGTTCTAAATCGTTAGATTTTCCGGATAAAATTCGGAGCAGGAATATCTAACCTAAGTATGACTTCATTTTATTCATGGGCTAAATCAAACTACGAATATCATTAAAATTATTTTATATCCTTTATTATTTTTTTAGAGCCAAAACCTGAAATAAATTATTACCCTCTAATTCCACGCGTGAAATTTGTAATTTTCGGTTATGTTTATAACCAAACATTAAAAAAAAAATATCCGATCATTTAATTACCATCGCTATTTTCAAAAAATGCTTTCAATAAAATTTATTGATTTGGTTGGATTTTTTTTACTATTTGCATTTTAATATACCGTTAATATCCCAAAAGAAACACTTGGCAATCAATTCTTAATATAGAAATTTTATTAATTTAATTACTATTTTTTTTTTAATTCAAAATTATATTATCACATGTTTTTATCGAGATATTAATAGAACATCTATTGATGTACAATAACTAACTTCTTTTTTTTTTAATTACCCGTAATCAGGCTAGATCGTGAGTTTATTAATCAAAAGAATACATAAGTACATATTCATTCAATTAGTATGGTACATACTACGGTTAAACTATCTATAAAATCTAACTAATTTATCATTGGCAGATATCTCTAAGTTTGACCTTGGAAATAATATGTTATTTTATAATAAACTTTGGGTGAAAACCTCCTAATCTACACATTATTGTCAGCAGGTTGTTACTATTAATTATCCTATCAATCCATTGGAATACAGGAAATTACAAAAGAATTGAATTAAAAATAAATAAAAAGGAAATATCTAAAAATACATAAGCATATTTTATGATTTCTATTTAATATTTTTATGTTATATTCAACTTTTTGAAACATTTCAATACTTCATGAGTTTACTTAGTATTGTATAGTATCATTCATTCATACTTTTGTTTTATATTATTTTATAAACTATTTTGAATATATCTTGTATATATTAAATAAGCAATATATTTATTAACTATTTTTAATATATATCTATATATAATTAGTTATATTGAATATACTATATGACCTAAAAAAAAAAAACTCTTTCCGCAAATCCCTCAGATCCTTAGAAATTTCTTTTTTAAGAAATATACCCAAGGAAAGAGACAACATATACAACTCAAGACATATACTTTCACAATATCAACATACAAGAGACATATTAGTACAGAATAACACTTCGTGCATAGTTTTAGTCTGGTGATCACTGAGAAAACACAACATATATCAACAATCTTGGCCTTTCTCTCTTTTCTAAGAAGAAGGAAATAAGCCAATATAAACTGATTCACAGTTAGAAAAGGGGAGCCAATATCAACTTCA